CGCAATACAGTCCTGGCAGCCATGGCTTAGGTGGGATCACACCGCACTGGAGATACCCCAACGCCCGGCAACCAAAAATATCTAGGGTCTGTATACTTCGCCTTATGCACGACGGCTACAAATACCCGGGGTCGTCAGCGGACAGTATCGGCAATTGCGCGGGGACCTTCTTTTGGCTTACCAGATTTGGTGAGATCCCAACCACACCCACTGCAAATTGCTAAAGCTCAGTCACAACAGCAATCTCAGAGGTCACCAACTCAAACTGGCAGACAAGCACAGTCACTTGGAATGTCGTCGGAATTTATTTTCCGTGCTTATTTGCAGAATGTGCAATACCCTACCGGAATCTGTCATATGTGCTCCTACGCTGGCAGAGTTCAAAGCCGAGTTGACCGTGCACTTATTTCGCTGCGCCGTCTTACATCGCCCATTATCCATAGCTAAACACGTGTCTGTGAGATATTTCACTAGCGGTCCCAGGTTGCGTTCTACCTGTTTCCCCCTGTATGTGTACACCAGAAGATCCGATTTTTACCAACATCCCATTCGTCGTCCTTCGTTATGGGTTTATCATGGGTTAATAGTCTATACTACGTATAATTCAGTGAGTTCCCCGGTGTAAACCCAACTTTGTTAACACGTTTTTATACATTTTGAAATTTCACCAGAACCATCCTATGGGACCTGTTAAACATCAGCTTTTTTACCCATATAAAACCATTGTACCATTGTTTCATTTCCAGCTATTTATTTGAATTTTAACTGTAGAAATTCTTCCATCTAGCTACAATGTACTCAACCCACCTACCTAGGTCACATAAGAGCCACATTCTTTCCTAAACTACTGTTCTATCTGTTCACACCTACCGTTAATTCATAGTGTCCTCCATCCTCACCTTCGTGTTGAAGCAGACTTTTCAAGTGACTGTCAGTATAACTTTCATACAAGCAACCAATGATGGCATATCATGAAACGGATATTAGAACTGAAAGTAATATGCACCATGCTATTACGCGCTGATTCCCTCATTACAATTTGAGGCGCTTCAATCTACTGGATAGGATACACGTTGAAAATACGATGCGCACACTATAACTGTAGATACGCAAAGCAAATTTCAGGTTAATTTGCATGTGCTTTAGCAAGACTTTCACTTGTGCAGTGTTTGTTCTGCCTATAAACACGCAAAATCTCTATTGCGTGTCGACCCACTTATGCGGTCTGAGATAATCGGACATTTTCACGAAGAGATAACTAAAAATGTAAGTTGTAATGACAAGACATGCGTGTATTTGAGCAATTATATTTCTAAATCGTGCCCATGATGAGGCTGAAGGTACATTCTTGATGCTTCTTCACTGCAGTTGGGCTAAACCAACTTACACTCAAACTAGGTCTTTTTAAGTTGGAGAAATTTCATTTCCTTAAATTTGGTTTATTCTGCCTACCTGAATAATTTTCTATTAACTGGCCACGTTGCTTACATTAATTGCGCTTATCCTCGCTAACTTTGTTGCGTTTGTAACATTTTTAGGTGACTTGTGGACGTTTTTACTTATCGCGGATTCTTTGCTAACCAAGTTACTCCATATGCTAATTTAGCGAAGAGTTATGCCACCGTATCTGCATGCGTTATTGGATTTATTTTATTTCATTTTGTCGTTTCAATTGATTGGCTGTTGCTTGATGTCCCCGGTGTGGCTGCGCTCGATGTGCATGTTGACAAGGTGCCTACCTGTCTATTACGCACTACCTCGTCCATACTGGCTCCACGAGACAGTTGGTCGTTGCTGGAGTGGACGGGGTGCACGGTCCTTATGGCCGTGCTAAGCTCGAAGAGTGGTTCCATGCACTCAGTGTGGAGCGGACTACGGTCCAGCCACCGACTTGTATGCGCTTGACCCCCCAAACACAACGTGTTTGTGTTTGATGTGAAGGTGTGAGCCGGCTCTGTTGATGAAACGTGGCTCCCATCCACACGGCTCCCGGTCTTATTTCTTCGGGTTTACACTGGATTTGGGGTGAATGGTTGGTGCTGTGGATGGTACAGCGCATGCCAACCACGGTCCCTCTGTAAGCGCAGGCGTCCTGTGACTGGCCTCAGCGTCAGGAAAATTCGAAACTGGATGCCACCAACCATATTTCTTTATCTGATTCTGATCAATTTGACATAATACTACAATTGTTGCGAGTTCGTTCGCCTCATCTATCGCACTAGTGACCTCTATTTTAAGTGCATCGGTTTTGGTGACTATTTTTGCTTTCAATCTCATCTAGATGTTATATGTTATTTTGCTTTTTGTCGCTCCTCTACCAAAGTCGTATCACTGCAGGGGACTTTATCAGTGGCGAACTGTTAGATCTATTGAACAGAAGTCTGTGCTAAGAACCTCTTGAAACCGTGTAGGAAAGCGATCGATAATCCGCCATTGGAGGACGATTGGCCACATTGGATGAAAATGTCAGCCTTATTTCATGCACCATCATTCACAGAAGATCAAATTTAGATCATAGACACAGTGAAATATTTAAAATACTTATCAGCATTTTTAACAAACTGATGGTGTAGCTGTTACCTTTATGCTTAAATCCCTCTGCACAGGTGGTGTCACCACATGCTCTGTTGTGGTCAGCTTAATTATTGCGGGATCTAATTATCGAGGTTAGGAAGCATATCATTATTATTATTATTGCCATTCTAAGAAGTTTGGTGTCCTTGGTTTAACGATGTTTTGGGAGTATATTGACTTATTACGCCTCCCATATTTCAGGAGATTTATGCATCTCTATGACTGCGCTGTGAATCATTTAATATATTATGCGAACTTAAGCGCAATCATGGTAGATCTTTCTATAATGTGGGCTTGTGACTGGCTTTTGAAGAAAAGCGTGCTCTGCTACCAACTACTCGCTCGACCGGAAATGGTCTCATTGGGCAGTTGATAATAGGCATATGGGCAGCAAGCTGTGGTTGCGAATATCGCTGCTGTTGCACAGCTTGAAACAGGCAGCAATCAGCCGTGCGGTATTATAACCACACTAATAGCGTCTGATTACCATAAGTAGTTGTAACGCATTTGAATCCATGTATTGGACGCCAAACGCATCAGAATCACTTAAGTCCTTACAACAACTACTTGGGATTGGTGACATCGGTTTCCACGTCGTTAGTTTACTTAAGCGGTGAGCCCCATACAGCTTGCCCACGTTTCACTCAACTTCTAAAGTAGCGTTCTGCATCCTGTAGATGTTTGTGACACTGTTCGGCCAGAGAGTACATGTAGGCGTAGTTGACACATTTTCCATAGATTCAATGGACTATACATTAAAGCCTCAGCTGAAGTGGGCGTATCCGACCATAGCACGAACATATTGAACCAAGACTTAGCATTTCAGGTATTTTCTTGTTAGTATACCAACCTAAAATCAGTGAATCTAAGCTTGGAGTCCCAGTTAAACTTTTCTTATTAGAAATTGTTATGTTTAGGCTATTACATCTAACACCCACAAAATGTACCAATGTCTAACTGAATCTGTCACTAGATTGACATCAGTGAGTACCTGTTTGCAACGCAGTAGCAGTTCCCCCTATCCATATGAAAAAACGTCCCAGAAAGCAGCTTATGTCGGGATACGGCGCGCTTCTACAGTGCCGGGATTATGAATACATCCCAAGAAAATGTGCTGAATTTCTCGTTAATCATGCTGCTAGTTGAACTAGGAGACTTGCTATGCCACTCTACCTTCGTTGTGAATTAGTATCCTCCGCGTTGACACATATTGTACCATTTTACCCTAGATGACATCATCTAAGTCAAATGCTTAACTACATACAGCTAAGCTTAACATAATAACTGAAAATGCTTAAGGAAAGGTTTTTTTACTCCCGGTTACCTTCTTACTAGAACATTAGCTGACGCCGTGCTGTGATCGTTTAGCACTACTGGTAAATGATTGTCAATTTCGTTTCACTATCAAATCGGTAGTGATTTTTGAAGCGAGCGCTAGTTTAGCTATCTAGCTATCTAGTTCCATATGTCAACATAACTCCTGGTTTTACTTGGTGCTAATAGGGAGGCTGAGGTTCCACTAAGTCTCCCTAAGTACCTTAAACCCTACAGCTGGTGTTTTTATTCTCGGGCACTAATAATTGTTATGCGACGAACCACGGCCAGAAGTACATTGGCTTGAAACTGTCCTTTCTCCTTTCTACTCCGTAAATCGTTTACGTGTATGTCTACAGGGATTTCTGAAATACACAGGAAAATATGCGTGGCTGAGGAACTGGATGCTACGCATCTTTCTCCAACGCTGACATAGTCAATCCTTGGTTCATTGATCAGCAGATTACATGCATCGGATTTACAGCAAAGATACTACTAATGATGGGCTATCCGGAGCTCTGGGTAGAAAGAGAACGAATGTTTAACACGGAGATTGATTATTTCCGTGGAATAAGTAACGCGATGTTAATGTTGACAGAAGTCACTGTAAGCAAAGCCTAACCAGTAAAAATACTTAGGACCGCAGCTCACCTGATATCAACACAACCCGATGTAGCCATATGTGAGATTAAGTCGACACAACGTTGAATGCATAATAGTATTTATGGGTGGTTTTACATTACAGTTGACTCTAGCATATCCATCTGCTCAACTGCAGTTGTTTTTGACCCAGGGCTTCCTAACCCAAATTTATAAGAAACTGTGGGAAAATTATCCAAGATTTATGCCTTTATTGCTGTGGTAGTTTGGTCAAAACGCCTATGTTTTTATGGCGAAATTAGGCATTAGTCATGCTTACATGCTTCAAACTTGGATTTATCTGTACGGTATGGAAACGGTGATTGATCGGCCACACTGCTATGGGGCATATGTAATGCCTTCATACACCACTTCATTACAAACTTCTCCGGTGCTTGAACGTAGGGTTTCTCGTTATATAATGAACGTTAAAAATGTTTCCATCAAAACCAAGACACAAATTAAGACCGAACCTGCGTTTCATTTTGGCCTCCTGTTGTTTGTTGGAAATTGTTATCACTTCTTCACGGAATAGTTCTCTCGGATCCCGCTTTCTCCTTTGATTCCCCTTTGTAACGCGTGTGAGGCAAACTGCGTTAACCCGGCCAACTTTGGGCACGTCGATTGGCGCTGCTGGGTCTTTGAACGACTTAATCGATGGGCCAGAATTAGACGGTGATGGGTTGTGAATTTCCTCAGGCTGCACTGCATCAGGTAACGTTAAGCTTCGTTTGGAACGAAACTGTTTCAAACTTGCTGATCTAGTGAGAATAGGGTGAACTCGGACAACCCAAATATCTGGGTTATCCGCATCCAGACAATCGACACATTGCTCCTCGATAAGCTTCACTGTCGTAAAATATGCCAACGGCTGCTGAGCGTGGTTGACAGAAAACGCAGCAACATGGACTCCCTGTAGCGCCTCGACCTGCAAACGAATAAGGTCGCTTAGAACACATTCTTTGCGAAGAGAGAAAAAGCACAATAACATTTAGGAAAGTTTTATGGTTTTCTGTATTGTAGGTTAACTTTCGATCACATATATGTTTTGCCTTCAAAGAATTCACTTGAACGAGGTTTATGAGGTCAGTTACACTTCCAAGACTTATGGAACGTTTTTCATAGGTTGGACTGCAAGCGTCAATCATAATTTGGCTTCAGTATGCTGATTGATACAGTTAAACTATCTAGTGTATCCAATTTATGACTTAATTGGTAGCTGTTTCCATTATTTGATGGTCAGGAAAAATGTTTTGGTAGTGGAGTGGTGAGGTTTTCGTACTTGTAATAATTTGGCAGCACATGGTTTTAACTTGTGTTGGTGCAACGTATAATTCTAAAATGCGGACTTAGAATTAAACAGTACTATCGCATCAATTTCGGTCACTGAGGATTTAATCCCCAGCTAAAATCCAAACTGAAACCCGTGACCTGAAGGCAGTAAGAACAAAGGCTTAACCTTTCTGTCCACCTGTATCATCTGATATCGCAAATTACAGAGTCCGCTTCAGAGTTGAAAACAGCTTCCATACACGTTCATTTCCTACTTGATACATGAGTACGGGACTGTGAACTGAACCTTGTACTCTGGAGTAGTCCAGTGTCCATAGAATGAGTGAAGGTTGTGTAAGAATCTCGCCGACGCTGAAGCAATACAATGTTCTGGCACCCAATTGCAAGGCTTCCGCCAACAAGGGCCACGCACCACCAACCTGTGTTGGCGCGGTAGTTGGACAGAAGCAACCAATGGTAGAGGTGGAATCAACATCATTTACCTGGAATTTTCTTAAGATGTTGACCACCTGGATCTCTTGACATACTTCAAAGACTACAGAGCTATAGAATAGGGATCCTGTTCTTGATTGGAATGCAAACTTTCTCCAACAACGGAGGCATTGTGTGCGTGTTAAGGGATCGCTCTCCAACCCGAATGAGGTGAAATGTAGTGATTCCAAGGGGCTCGATGCTGGGACCACGTTTATTCCTTGTGTTTATAAGTAAATAAATAAAGGTACATTTTAAGGTTATTGCTAGATGCTGTGTCCGCAAAGGATTAGATCAAACTCTACAATCTGAGAGGATTTATCTCATCCAATTCCCTGCTTTTCGCACGTGCTGTTAAAATATGGCCAACACTTAATAGCAGGGGGGATCACGATTTCCTCCAATATGACCTGGAGTGCCTTCATGAATGGTTCTGGGAACTAAATCCAGTTCAGCTCATCTGACTAAAAAGTGCTCCACCTGCGTTATCAGCCGGCAAACGTTTACACACTTGAAGACCACACTTTAAAGAGAGTCTCTCAAAAATGTGATTTAGTGATGCTGGTACTGGACGATGTTAGCTGCTCAAAGCAAGCAGAGAAGCCGTCGAGCACCGGTAGTCAAACGTCGGCATTCCTCTCAGTGCGTTCGGTCAGTTTGCACCCTCAATCTTCTCACGAATATTTAACGCCTATGTGCCCCACACGTGGAACACGCCTTCAAGTCTTAGCACTCGTAGCAGAAGCAATGGAACAAAGGAACAATGGTTTATTACGGGTAAAAAAGCTTTGCTTAACAAGTCCCGTAGGATGGAAAATTATTGTGAAAACCAATTGCATGATAAAGGGAAAAGCGTTGTGGTGGACTCACCATAGACTTATGCGGAATAGCGGAGATGTTCGCGTATGAAACATATAAAACTATAAATCCATTGGTTAGGAGTTTGGCAAGACACCGTTTGACTGCGTTTTGTAGCCCCTGGCTAACAAGTCATAAAATGAAATGTAAGTGAGACAATGCATCGTCAACACGTTCTTTAAATATTGCCAGATTGGGAGCAGAGACGACATAATTAGGGATGGCGTTCCAAGGCTGGCACACGCGGAGAGAGAAGAAATTTCTACGGCATTCAAGCCGGCTATACTGAATTTTCCGTTTCAGTGGGTGACATCTTAGTTTAGTGTTGTGGTTCAATTCCAGCAGCGGACGAGAAATGTGGTTTGGGTTCTTCAGAATCTGGTAAACCATTATGAGATCCCCCCGCAAAAGCCGATATCGACTGCTGTAGATTCTTAGAGATTTCAGTCTAAGCTGATAGGGCAGATGGAAGAGGCCCCTGACGTTCTTGGTTGCCCTTCGTTGAGGAGTCTCGAGAGCAACGGGATCCTGTTTCTGCCACGGCTGCCACGCCTGAATAGCATATTCCACTTGAGGTCGCACATAGGCGTTAAGCATTTTGGGAAAGATTGAGGGTTCAAACAGACCGAAGGCTCTGCGAAGAAGGCCGAAGTGTTGATTTCCGGTTCTCGTCGCCTTCTGTGCTTGTTTTGAACACCCGAGATCTTACTGTACCAATACACCCAGGTCCCGCTCCTGAGAAACGTTCGCCAAGGTGTGGTCTCCAATCTTGTAAGCGCTCACCGGCTGGTGATGCAGATGCATCACTTTGCACTTAGCTATGTTCAATTGAAGCTTGTTCCTCATTGACCATTCATAAATGCAATCTAGGTCATGTTGGAGCAGATCCTGATCGGACTTGTTACCGATCGCCCGCCATATTTTGACATCATCGGCGAAAAGCAGGAAATTTGAGGAGATGATCCTCGCCAGGTCGTTGATAAACACCAGGAATAAGCGCGGTCCCAGCACTGAGCCTTGCGGCACACCACATTCCACCTCAATTGGGTTAGAAAGTGATCCCCTAACACGTACTTGAAGCTTTCTTTGGCAAAGGAAGTTGCCAATCCAACCAAGTACAGAATCACCGATTCCGCAACTCTGTAGTCATTGAAGTAGGATGCGGTGATCAAGGCGATCGAAAGCTTTGGAGAAGTCTAGATAGATGACGTCGACTCCGACCCCATCATCGGCCACTTCCGTCCAACTACCTCGTGCAATAAGTAGGTTTGTAGTGCATGACCGGTGTTGACGGAAGCCATGCTGTTCCACTACCAAAATGTTGCATTTTTCTAGGTAGTCCATTAAAGTGTCAGCGACGACTGCTTCCATCACCTTCGCGAGCACAGGGAGGAGAGCCACTGGACGATAGTTTGCAGGATCGGAACGGCTACCGCCTTTAAAAATAGGGGTGATAATGCCACACTTCCACATAGTGGGGACTTGTTGTTCATCAAAGCACCTTTGAAAGAACTGTGACAGTGGTTCAGCTAGCTTGGTGGCCACAGCCTTCAGTGCCTTCGGGCGGATGTTGTCTGCTCCTGGAGAACTATGCTCACGCAGCAGGATCCTGCTGCGCCCGAGACTGCTCAAGTAACAGTATCCAAGAAAGTTAGGGGTCCATTCCAACTGCCCTGCCAGCTTAGACTGATGTCCCTTGGAAGGTACAGCAGTCAATATCAATAGTGGAATGCCTATCTAACTTCCAAGTTAACGATATTAAAAATGCATGGACGAAGCATGGCCCCACTCGCATGTTAGTTTACAACTTGTTTTAGCCGGAGGCCTCACAATGCAAACAAATGGTATGTTCACACAATTCTAGGCAGATGGATTGCTACATATTATCACGTTAACATCCAGGCACTTATGTGTATATCTCAATCCGAATGACTTGGTGAGTCCACCAAAAAGTTTTTTATTTCATCATGTTTTGCAAGTCTTTGTATTCCACATGACTTGTAAAGCTTTACTTATTTCTGTCAATAATAGACAATCGCTCCATTAAAACAAGTCGAATAGGCCGCAGCCCTTAAGCCAAAGTTGTCAGGGGCAAAAGCGAAAGCGAGCTGATTACCCCACCTCTGGTGTGAAACCCGCTGTGCGCAGCAACACATGTTAGAGCGGCACTAATGTGTTCCAAATGCCTTGCATAATCTTCCCCAGGGGAAATAAGCTTGCTGTGTTTGAAAAAGAAGTACACTAATGAATTGCATTACACAGTCTTGAGAATACTGTAAAGAAGGTTTGCAAATAACTGCAAGTTTATTTTACCAAAATGTTGAATGTAATGATTTGTTTGTCAAAAGTATACATCTAGGTTACTGGTGTGGGTGCCTTTTATAGTGACGAGCGCCTAGCTGCATGACTGTGGCAGCATGCAAACAGCTACATTGGGGCCTGCTATGGTGTAAGCTAAAATAGGATACTTACCATGCTCCGTTATTACCATTTTGGTCCTAAAAGATGTAGTTTCCAAGTTGGGAGTTAAGACAATTCATTGTAGGGGAATTTTGTTCTTAAGAACAATGGCTGTTACGTCAAGCGTCTGTGTATCCCCGGTAGGGACTCAACAATGTATTCTATGATCCGCCACAGATTACCGTCTCAACAAATGAGACAAAATATTGGGTTGGAGATTTCCAGTTCTATTCTTTTCCAACACTGCTTCACAATCCGTTTCTATTTGATTTGGGCACTTCAGGTAGAGGTAGCCCTAATTGAGGATGTGATCCAACTCTTAGTGTTTGACCGATTACACATTGATCACTAGACTATTAAACTTCCCGAACAGTACTTTCCACAGCGTTTATAGATTCATTGTCAGGTCTTGGCGTACCCGTCGTGTGTCTGAAATGCGACATAGTCCTCATTTGAAGATTCCAGTTTAAGACGAAACCGGCCTGGTATACAGGGTAGGAGGACAGCAGCATCGCAGCACGCCAATTAGGATGCACTCCCAGTGCTTGAAATGATAGAGATTTGCTTCAATGCAAACCGTGGCCCATAACTGAGGTTGTGTGTCGCAATTCAAACAAGGCGCATTTCAGAGAACACAAGTAACAGCTATTAAAACTTAAGATGGCAGTAAGCAACCATTTATTTTACGACTGAATTACCTCCATTGAACGTTTACTTTGGATTAGACCAGGTGCTGAGACCCAAGCGGTAAGGTACGGTTGCTTATCCGTGGCTGCGTCGTCAGCATTATATCTAGTAAGTAGTATCTGTACACAGGAGCAGTTTCGTAGAAACTTCTGCATCATG